TGATGGGTTAGCATCCTTTCACCAGAACATGGGACAAGCAAGGACAATAGTTACAGTGGAAGGAAGCTCTTGAACCCTTTGAACAAACTCCAGAGCCTTGATCTCAAACAGGGTTCAGGGTTTAGGGTTTAGGGTTTTCGAACGCAAACTCCCCACGCGCCAAACAAGCCTTTCAAGGCCCCTTACCCCCAGGCTGCTTGCGGTCTTAACCCTCATCCCAGAGCCCGAAACCCGACGGCCGTTGAGTCCCAACCCCTCTGAGTGTATCAACCGCCCCAAACCCTAAACCCGAAACTCTGAAAAAGCACAGCCCAACCCCGACTCCCCCAAAGCCTTCCAAAACAGCGAAGCTTAAGCACAGCAGCAGCAGCAGCAGCGCAGCCTTGATCCCTAAGAAGTCCTATAAACTAAACCTCAAGCCCTTAAGCCGTAAGCTCGGTTTAGGGTTTAGGGTTTAAGGTTTAGGGTTTAGGGTTTAAGGTTTAGGGTTTAGGGTTTAGGGTTTAGGACCCAAAAACCTTTAACCGTACCCTCAACCCCAAACCCTTCAGGCATCTTCGCCCCATCCTTGGCCAAGCGATTCCCGGAGACTGGCTTGAGGGTGGTCGAAGTCCAAGGCGCTTCAAAAAGTCGGGCCATGCTCGGGTTCAGAACTCAAGGTTAAGTTAGTTTAGGCTTTAGGGCTTAGGCTTTCGGGTTAAGTAAGTTTAAGCTTTAGGGTGTGGGGTTTAGGGCTAAGCAAGTTTAGGCCTTAGGGTCTGGTAAGTTTAGAGGTTGATGGTTCATGGCCAGCGATCCGCAACTGTAGCTTCTTGTGTCGTTGTTCTAGATTTTGCTCGGTGTGTGCTTGTAGCGCTTGTCCATCGGGTTTCTTTGCGTCCTTTCCAGGGCTGTAAGTTTTTTCAGGACCCTAAACCCTAAACCCTTAAACCCTTAATCCCTAAACCCTAGAACCTTTAAGGCGGCCATATTTCGATGACCACCTATTGGCCTTGGTTGATACTCGCACGCGCAGCTAAAGTCTCAAAGCACAGGCTTGGAAGAGTCATGAGCCCGAAACCCTACCGTAAACCCTTAAACCCTAAACCCTAAAGCAGGTTTGTAGGGGAGGGTTTAGAACCGGGTTTAGGGTTTAGGGGTACCGGTTTTGGGGTGAGGTTTCCCAGCAAAGTTACCTTGTGGAGGGTGTCCTCAGTGTCGGGAACCCTGCTATTCAGGGTCTGTAATTGGGATCCTTCACGTCTGAAACAGGTTGCTGCACATTCCCAGAAGGCTCTCACGAGCTACAGCAGCAATTATGTTGAAATTTCCAGAGTTGGTAATATAAGCAGTCTCAAGACCTTGCTCTGTAGGCAACTGGGGTTCCGTGGTAAAGGCTTAATCTAGGACATTTTCAGGTGGGTAGTTACCGTTATAGGAGCCTCACAGAAGGTCTATCTACCTGATAGAAGCCTTATATAAGGTCTATATACCCTAAACTCCCCATCTGTAGTTTCCTTTGACTAAAACCCTAAACCCTACACCCCGAAACCCCGAAACCCCGAAACCCCTAGCCCCGAAACCCCTAAGCCCCTAAACCCCTAAACCCCTAAGCCCCTAAACCCCTAAACCCTGAAGAACCCTAAGCCGATCTCCTCATCTTGAGGTGGCGTGACCGATGCCCGCGCTCTGCTGCAGCACCTCCCGCGCAGGCCGAGGATGGTGACGGGTTAGAGTAAGCTAATGTAGGGTTTAGGGTTCAGGGTTTAGGGGTTTAGGGTTTTAGGGTTTTAGGGTTTAGGGTTTTGGGTGTAGGGGTTTTGGGGTTTAGGGTTTAGGGTTTAGGGGTTTAGGGTTTAGGGTTTAGGGTTTGGGGGTTTGGGGTTTAGGTGAGGGAGGGGCCTCTAATATAGGGCATGAACAAGAGCACAAAATACGACTCCCGCTCGTGTAGGCTGCTATAGATGAGGAGTTTGAATTTCAGTGAGTAGTACATTGAGGGCTTTCAAGCGATCGTATTCTTGTCGGTCGCTAGCAAGGTGTTTCAGGCAGTGCGGGACTTGCTATATGTAATCCTAAACCTACCCCATAGGCTCCATAGTAGTTCCTTGTGGGGATTTCCTTATAGGATTCTAAATATGAACCCCAAAAACGAACTACTATGGGGCCTATGGGTACAGTCGTAGACTTCCAGCCATCCTAAGGTCCTACCTCGACCCTACTGTAGCCCAAGGAAGCTCCACCTAAGACCCGAGGTTCTGGCATATCAATGAATATACAAGGACATCACTCAGGGTATGGGCTATGCTATGTGCAGTTGCTAAGTTGGCTCCTCCTTTACATGGTTCTTGCTCCGACACTACAGCCTCAGACACGATTCTCGCACACTACAACAGAATTTTTGTGGGTTCCCTCTGCCCTAGAACCAAACCTCGCAGTGCCAAACAACCTAAGAACCCTGTAGCGATAAATAGTTGCTACCTTCGCCCAGCCCGCATAAAACTGGACCGGAGCTCTCACAAACCCACCCCTACTGTACAGAATAGACAGGCCCTTTGCGCTTGCCATCGCTGATCCAGCAGAGAGGGCTGCGTCAGAGCTGGGAATCCCGCATCTTGGCTCGATGGTTTGTGGCTCAGAGTTTAGGGTTCCGGGTTTGGGCTGATGCAAAAACTCAGTTCCGACCTTGAGGAAATGAATAAAAGCATCAAGAAACGAGGCGGAAAAGATGGAGACCGGTGAAGACGCAGCTAAAACATTGCAAACGTGCTGCGCAAACTCGATGGCTGCCTGCCACCCGATTTTCACCAGCCACTGAAGCAATAAACACAATAGCAGGAGACTCACTGATGCAGTATGCCTAAGAACAACCATACCGGTACCCTAAACCCTAAACCCTAAACCCTAAACCCTAAACCCTAACTTACTTCTCGCTCTTGTCCAGCTTCTAGTACATGGGATCTTTGGGCCAACACCCTCAGAGTTGGCATGCTTTTATAGCTCCTATACATAATTTCCCAAAGGGGCCTAGGTACTGTTGTGGGGAATACTTCCCCAAATCATAATAACAATTCCTAATAATCCTAATATAGAAACCCTACATTCTACCATATAAGTACTTTGGACCCTTTGGGTTTGGGAATTATACACCCCCCAAAACTCGAGCATAATTGTCAATGCCGCTATGGCAATGATGGCAGGTGTGGCAAGAATATCAGTAAGAGCAGTCACCAGAGCATGTAGTCAACTGCGCAGCCGCAACAGCAGAACGTAGCAACGCGTACCATCTTCAAGACGCGCTACTCTGGCCAAACTCCTGTTTGATGAGCACATCGGGAGTAAACGAGGGTAGTTGAAGCTCTAAGTGAACCCAAGGCCAAGCCCAGAATCCTTACGCCAACCTTCAGCCCTCAACAAAGCCCAAACCCCAAGCCCAAACTCAAACTATCGCTGAATTCCAACTGCAAACTGACACCTTGACCTTGGCTGCTTACTACACATTGAGCCCTTTGCCTCAAACACTACCCAGAGAGCCCAATACCCCTTGATTAAGCACTATACCTTCAATCATAGAGGGCTGAAATAGATGATTTAGGGTATGTTTCTTCATCCAGGGGTATTGTTCTCTATGGGTAGTCCACGAGGAGCCTCTAACCCTAAACCCTTCGCCTCAAACCCGAAACTCTCTGCAGTATAAGCCTCAAGCCCGAAACCCTGAACCTTAAAACCGAAGTGTTAAACCCTGGAGCCTAATGTAAACCCTGAAGCCTCATGACCCTAAACCCTTAAGCGATGAGGCTCTGGGTGGTGGAGCCCGGAGATGTCCCGACGCTGGAGGAGCGAGCGCGCTTCTACGCGCTACTGCCCAGGATGAGCTGACGTCGCAGGCCAGGCTTTTAAGCCCTAAGCCCTAAACCCTAAACCCTGATAAACCCTAAACCCTATAAGCCCTAACCCTAAACCCAACAAATCCTGACTACACGACAGTACCCATAGGCCCCATAGTAGTTCCTTTTTGCGGTTCATATTTAGAATCCTAAAAGGTAATCCCAAAAAGGAACTACTATGGGGCCCATGGGTAGACTCTAGACCCCAACCAAGTCTTGTGGAAGAGCACGGACTTCCGAGGTCCCACTTCCAAGAAGCTTGGCAGCGGTCAGCGGGAGGCAGCGATCTGAGACTGTGACAACATCCCCTAGTTTCAGGGTTTAGGGTCTAGGGTTTCGGGGTTTAGTGCTTAGGGTTTAGGATTTAGGGTTTAGGGTTTAGGGTCTGATTAGGGTTTAGGGGTTTAGGGTTTAGGGTTCAGAGGTTCCTGGATGGTGTTGCGCCTTTTCCTTTCTGTTGCTTCTCGCAGCCGGATCGGGACCGGGATCCATTTTGGAAGTTAAGCGTATGCTTCTGGTGTAGGATGGGTTCGCTTTGGCGTTTAGGGTTTAGGGGGCGATGATCCCTGCTTTGCTAAACATGTAGTATATTTGCCAATATTATTCCTTAGGGTTCCTTATTATAAAGTATACTATAAAGGGGCCCAATACCCTATTCTGGTTAAAGGCCCCTACATTATGCCTAGGTTCCTGAGTGGTACCCTTTTGCCCTTTTTTTCCTTTTAGGGTTTCCGTATTAAAACCAAGTAGTGGGAAAAACCCTAAACCCTAAACCCTAAACCATTAAGGGGCTACTGGGGAACCTCGTTCAACATCCCTGCTAGCAAGGCTTCGGTGTCTGTAGGATTGTGCTGAAAATATCGGGCCCAAATAATTACGCAGACTATCTGGGGTGTTCCTTAGTATAATGGTAGTATAGTATTTCCCCAAAACCATCTTCTAAATATTACGGTCCCTACATTAGGTGTCTTGAGTGGAAGCCTAAGTCCCCAGTTTCTATAGGTTTCAAGTCTTGCAGCAGGAACAGGCTATGGCAAAAAAAATCGATGTGCACTGCTGGCCCTTTGGCTCAGATAAAAACCCTGAACCCTAAACCCTAAAGAGGGCACTGCAGGGCTGTGGCCGGCACGCAGCATGTCGCAGCGGGAGACCCGCCCCACAGGAGCTGGCTCGCCCTTCAAGAGGCATCGCAAGACGGTTGTGAGCTACTTAGTTCTGCAAAACCCAACCTTTAAACTTTTTGTTTTTTTGATTTAGTAGTAACCTGAAAGTTCAACCTTTTATTTCCCTGGCTTATTGGAGAAGTAAGGCTATGACAAGTGCGCTATGGAAGCTTTGGTGGCAAGCGATCAAAGCGCAGAGCAAGAGGAAACCGTGTGCTGGCCTTCTGCGCAATGTTATCGAGAGCTGGTGCATGTGGTCAGCAGCTGGATGCCGGAGATTCGTGTGAACTCAGAAGGAGACTATGCATTCTCATTGCGCTTTGTAGTTGCAGCGATTCTACTCACCTTGTTTCTGACTTTATTGGGGCCGTTCGTGGCTCCAATCGCCCTCGCTTTAGCTGCTCTTCGGAGTACTGAACGGAACTGCTTGCATGGCTTGTCACAGATCTTCATGGTTGGGCTTACAGCCTTTCCCCTGTACCTTCTGTGGACCATGACCGCAGTGGCCTTTCGAATGGACACCCTGCAAGAGTTCAGAAAGGCAGAGAATTCCGTCCTGGAGCTTTGCGGCCCCTTCCTGTGCCTTCTGATCTTGTCTCTGGTATTTCTGGCAGAGGTCTGCCACTACTGCATCGAAGCTCGGTTCCTGAGGAGTAGCCTTTTGGCCCTTTGTTTGGCGGGTTTCCCCCATTAAAACCAAACACTAGGAAAAAGGCTACCCAGGATCATTAAGGGGCTACTGGGGAACTCTAAACCCTAAACCCTAAACCGGAGAAACCCTAAACCCTAAACCCTAGGAAGAAAGCACTGGCCGGATGCTCTTGGACGAGCTGTCGGAGATCCAGGAGCAGGATTCTTTCAGTGGTCGGATGTTGGAGCCTTGGTGATGGCTCTCAGAAGGTTTTTGTTTAGGGATTTTTGGGGTGGTGTAGGGGTAAGGGTTTAGGGTTTACGGTTTAAAAAGGNNTTAGAGTTTTAGGGTTTAGGGCTGGTGATTGGTTACTTTTGTATGGTCTTTCGGGTCCTAAACCCTGAACCCTACTCGGCCGCATAGCCATCAACACGCCATCAACAGCAAGGTGGCTCTATGATACAGCATAGTCTACAATAATGCAATATAAGCCAATACAAGATCATGTAATGTAATATAATATAGTAGGGCATAAAATAAGGTCATATGATGTACCATAATACCGTATAAAATACCATGTAACATAATAGAATATAATATAGTATGGTATCATGCATTATATAGTAACAAACCAAATATGTCATAAGTCAACCCATGGCATTCTGAGCTTCTCACGCCAAAACTCGCTGAATGCCTTCATCTTTCAATTCTAGACGTTCAGCCATCAGCACTGCTGTGCAATTCTGAAGCCCACGGCGGACTCCCGCATCGCAGGACACGCACAACTTGCACGACTTCGGCAGTAAGTTACAGGAGGCCTGTGCAAGGAAAGCTGTCTTCTTGAAGACGATGTATGTGCGTTACGGGTCGTGGAGCCGCATTTTTTCGCATGGGCTGTTCACACCGTTACACCGCGTTGGCATACGATCCTGTACAGGTTGGGCGAGGTTCCTGTAGGGTCTGTAGAAACAAAATCCCTCCCTCCCTCCCTCCCTC